CGCGTCCCTAAATCCCCGCGCAGCTGTAGGAGAGGGCTGCTTCCGCCGCCGACCGCCATGTCGCCACGTGGTCCTGCTGACAAAGGAAACTTCTCTGTCCACGTGCCTGGCAAGGCCTGCGCCCCGCAGCCCCGCCCCGTCCCGCTGCCCGCCTTGTGTTCTCCGAGGGGTCCGCGATGCTGGCCCGGTCCAGGAGAGCGCTGACCCGCTCTGGCGGACATTGGGCCACCGGGGAGGCCACCGCCTCTAAGAACAGTGAGTCGCCCCTCTGAAAGCCTGAAGGAGGCCTAGACGCCTAGGCGTTTCTTTCCACTCGTGACCCTGAACCCCCAAAGCTTGCCTTTGAAAGCACCTCCAGATGTTCACTGGATCTCAGTATTTTACCTGTCCTGTTATTAAAGAGGTATTAGAGGAAAAAAGATGAATTCAGGTCAGTGGGCTGAGCCTAACAGAGCATCAGTTTAAATGGAGAATAACAATATCAAAAAATAAAACTTCCAAAAATGGCAAGGCTGATTCTGGAATCTCAGAAATAACAAGAATTCTGAGCAGCTCGCTTTTTGCAAACTGGACAGACGGAAAGTTTTCACAGGCAGAGAAGCCACAGCCAGACGGGGCAAGTCTTGTGAAATGTCTTTGTTACAGGCCACAAGATTAAAATTATTCCAAAGGCTGTCACAAGGCTGTGACACGTCTCAAGTGACAATGAAGTATCCAGTCAAAAACTGTCAACTGTTGCTTGGGGTCTTTGCCTCTGAAATAACACTTGTAGAGTTCCAAACACAAACAGAAATAACTTGCAAAGCCCTATTCTAAACATGAGGGGCTTTAATGTCTTCTCCACCAAAATCCCAAGAATGTTTTTGGAATGTCAGCACTGTGTCAGGCTCTACAATAAAAGATACTACTCTCAAGGACATTATCAGCCTGATCTATTGAAGCAATGGGAAGCAGCAGCTGTTATCCACCTAACAGCCTGAGCTGAATTTATTTATGAAGTCAAAAGCTTGGGAAATTGAGTTTTGAGTATTCTCCCCTATGTAAGTTCAATGTGTAGGTAGGCTCAGTACACTTACCCAAATGTGTGCCCTACCCCAATCCCTTTTTAACAATATGGGTGGTGCATAAGGATGTATTCCAGAGATTTGATGGACATCTAGGAGCTTGCTCTGAAATTCACATAGGAAGGGTTCTTTGGCATTAAAAAGTTGATCTCACATGCTATTCTCAAAGTAGTTTGCAAAAATAAATGTTGCTTTCCAAAAGAGCACAGCCCTGTTAAGTGTTTTGGGTAAAATATAATTTATTGCCAAAGAAGTTTTCAAAATAATATAAATAATACAAGTTTTCAAAATAATATAAGACATTGGACAAAGTATAAAGCCATGGGCCAGATGATAAGGTGTAACTGAAAGGAACATTGTTCCTTATTATAAGAAACTCAGGACTATGACAGACGCCTTGACTGAAATTAGAAGCATTTTATATATGTCTGTCTATGTCTGTATACACTACTGGAGAGACGGAGGCATAGATATAGTCAAACTTTTAAATATGTAATAAGAGGCAGTGGTCTGAATATTTGTGCCCCCCTGAACCCAAACTCATATGTTAACTTCTAACCCTCAAGGTCCTGATCTTAGGACGGGGAGTCTAGGATGGTAATTAGGCGTGAGGATAGAGCACTGATGAATGGTTAGTACCTTTATAAAAGAGACCCAGGGAGGTCCCTTTTGCCTTCACCATGTGAGGACACAGTGAGATGGCACTACCTATGAATGAGGAGACAGACCCTCACCTGATACCAGATCTGTTGGTGCCCTGACCTGGGACTGCCAGCCTCCAGAGCCATGAGGACCAAATCTTTGTCATTTCGAAGCAGCCAGTCTGTCATTTCGAAGCAGCCAGTTTATGTTTTGTTACTGAAGTTCAAACAGATTTAAATATAAGGTAAAACACTGGGGCATCTCCCTGCTGAGCACTTGTCTGATCTGTTCCACCTGCTACAACACAGCACCAGAGTGGGGACTCACAGAACAGGCAGGTGTCTCCAGGGGTGCTGGAGTCTGCACATCCGAGATCAGGTGCCAGCACAGTCAGGTTCTGCTGAGGGAGCTCTCTTGGGTTGTACATTGCTGACTTCTCCTCGTATCCGCAAATGGCAGAAAGAAAAGGAAGTAAGCCCTCTCCTTACTCATAAGGGCACTAATCCTGTTTATGAGAGCACCAAACTTTGACCTCATCTAATTCTAATCTTATCCCTGAGGCCTCACCTTCTAATACTGGGTGTATAGCCTGGATAGACTATAAGGGACAGAAAGAGGGCTGTTGCCATTTCTGGATGCTTCTTCATTACTTCATTGCCTTCCGCCCTCCTTGCCATGGACGGCTTCTCCTCTGTGATGCCCCTCTGCCATGCCACCCTGTCTGGGAGCCAGCCAACTAAGAACTGAAGCCTCTACAAACTGTGAGGTACACTAAACCTTTCCTCCTTTAACCTCGGGTGCTGGGTATTTTGTCTCAGCAACAAGAAAAGTAATCATTTACTCGCCTCTATGAGTGCCTATATCAACCATTTCTCTCTCCATATAAAACCTATACTTATTTGTTTGTTTGGTTGGTTGGTTTTTGGTGATACTGTGGGTTAAACCTAGGGCCTTGACAATGGCTATATCTCCACCCACCCTCCCTTTTTTTGAGATTGATTCTTGCTAGTTTGGTAAATTGCCCAGGAACTTCTGATCGTCCTGCCTCAGCCCTGAGCTCCTAAACATCACTGGATTCCTGGTATCACTTCTTATCTTTGGATGTCTTGTGCACTGAATGCCTTTGTAGACCTTTTCTCCTGCTCATCTGTGCCTGCATGATCAATGACCAGACCTTTGAGGGTGGGAAGGCCACCCACTTTCCTCTATTACAGGCACCACCAGTCCTCACAAGAGCTATGGTTTTACCATCAGATATTTTTACATCATAGATGAAACATCAGTTAGATGTTTCATCTATGTTTCAATGAATCTTGGCTATCAAAAAACTTAGTAACTTTTGATTCCTCTTTCCCCACAGCTTGGCTGGAGGAAGCCATTCAGGACTAAGAACAAGGGGATACAGACTATAGTGTAGCCCCTGGTGGCTGGAGCCCAGCTTCTTGTACTTGTGCGTGACACACTGTCCTTGTTAGAACAGAGACCTGGGCCCACCTGAAATTTTCTGACTTGTTGGGTCTCCTCTGGGCACAAGAACTTGCATTTTCAGTGAGTTCCTGGATGCTGCTGGTCCACTGATCCTGGAACCACAACACACTTTGAGAACCCAACTTGTGAATGTATGACCTTGCTCTCTGTCACATGACTCAGAGAAGCTACCAGACCCAAGCCTCGAGCAATCCATGAGAAGAAAAGAAGCCTCAAAAAGAGTATTTGCCCTTCACTGCCTCATCAGGAATTGGAATCACGGGGGGGCGGGGCACTGTGATTACAAGTACGTGTAAGAACACTTGGTGGGTACTCTCTAAGTCCCAAGCCCTCAAGTCTGTTCTGCACACAGCACCGCTGAATCATCCCTTCATGGCTGAGGAGTCAGCATGACTCTGGGAAGAATGAAACGTATCCTCTCATCCTCCCTGCTTCTGAGGTCCAGGGTGCCCATCCTCCGCTGTCCTTTGCAGAGCCTTCTGGCCTCCTCCCTGACTCCTCCTCCTTCTGTGCAGCATAAGCACTCCTCTCCCTACTATGCCAGAGACATCCATTACTTTGCTCACTCTTGGGAAGTTCCCCTTCAGAGGCAGGGCCGCTTTTGACATCCTATGTGCTTCTGCCTGGGTTTGCACTTCCAGCCAGGTGACATTGCACAAGGTCTGCTGTCCTGCTCTGAATTTCCTGAACAGCAAAGGTGGGACAAGAGTGTGGATGTGTGCGACTGATTTGGGAACTGATGCTCCTTGACTTACTAGGGGGTCATGTCCCAGTAAACACATTATGAATGGAAAATATCTGAAGTGGAAAATGCATTCAACACACCTGACGTACTGCACATTCTAGCTTAGCCCACTGCACACCCTCAGGATTGTGACTGGGTGACACTGTTGCCCAGCATAGCGTGAAGACCTTGCCACATATTACTAGCCCAGGAAAAGACCAGAACGCAAATTCCAAGTTCACCTCCTACAGTTTGTATATTGCTTTCACACTACTATAGTGTAGGGAATTGTAAGTCAGGGAGTCTTCTGTGTTATTGAGCCAGGTACCACTGTGGACAACTGGGGTCCTGTCATGCAGGGATTTGTGGAGAC